CGATGTTCTTGGAATCTTGTAGCAGAGCGTTCTTTTGGGTCTGTACTGTGCTGTCAATGGAAGTTTCAAAAAGCATTCCACATTATCCTCGGCCATACTGAATGATGTTTCTGTCGTCGGACCCGTGATACGAAATGTCAATAGAAAGGGAGAATGAGGTATATGTTTTTGCAGATAACTCCCACTGTCATAAAATTTACAAGTAGTCCACAACTGCCTAGGAAGACTCCCAAACGATGTTAATGAAAGCTCTCGAGATTCACGATCTTTGCTACTTACACTTCGGTTGCCTTCGACCTGGATCTTAGATGAACTCATATTACATGGAAATAGAAACATTTGGGTTGGAAGCTTATACACTTTTAACTTCTTTAGAAATGTGGGATGTTATCCCAGCTGCACCGGAATTAAGTAATCCTGTGCTACCACGGGGCGAGTCGTATCAGGGCAACTGCACTCCCAATGTCGAAGTGAATAAAATGAAGTCTGTGAAATCAAGCTTCTCTGATCTAGTTGTTGAACAGGACGCCGATGCTCATTGGAAAGTAGACGTGGGAGACAATGAAGTAAAATGCGAACCTCCCAAGAAGTGGGCTTGCTTTACGCTGACGTGCAACGTCTTTGTAAGCAACATCCGCGTTCATCCGGTGCGGCAGACGCACTGTTATATAGGTATGCTTTACAATACACTTTTTTATCTGGCAGAATGCCTTTTACCAACATGAATTCATTTTAAACAGTTCTGAACCTTTTCACTGGCGAATATGGGGTAAATTACTGGCACGCGCATAAAAATTAAATTCATGATAAAGGGCTTAATTCCCCGACCGAAAGCAAATACGACTTCATACCGGTCGAAGCCGTCAGTTAAGTTTGTCGCAAGAAGCGGCGCAGCGACTACTTCCTCGTTTTTTGAAGTAATAAGCTCGAGACAATTGTTAAAACAATAGATGATTACTCCTTTTGGGTCCAATCTCACATAGTAAAGACTGGATGGTAAATCTATATTGCTCAGTGAGCTACCAGCTGCGTAACTCATGTAGATTCAGAAGTGAGCATTTCGTAAAATCCGTTTCAACAACACTCACCTTACTGATAGTAGTTTCGAGTAAGTCAGTAAAAACTGTGACTGCTCAAACAATTAAAGCTTAACATTTAATTTTAGGCTTTATGAATACCTTCAAATAACCCGCCACATATATTATCTGAAGGAAATTCTACATCTTCGCACGAAAACAGCAACCGCAGCTACCCGGTGAGGAGACTTGCTTGGGCTAATTTCCTGACAGATAAGTGTTGAAGTAGGGTTTTGGTTAGGTATAGTGTTAAGGATAGGCCCGACCGATAGCACTGAACGAGAACTTAAGAATGCAGAAAGCTTCGTCTACAGAACGCCTATCCAAATCGATTTCTCTTCTCAAACTGCATGCATTGAAACACCGCCAAAGCCTACGTTGCCGACAGCAGAGAGGAGACGATTTTTTTAATCAGGGTACTATATCAAGAGGACCCGCGAAGGGAACTTCTGAGAAGGCGCCTAATTCAAGCTGTATCAATTTACTTTTCCAGACGCCGACGTCTATACACCCTTCTAGATTAGTCCCACCCAATACCAAAGGAACAAGAACAAATTGTCAGTCTAAACAGCATTCTTCTGCTGTTAATGGTAGACTCACGCTTTCCGAATGATTTACAAGTCACTCTCTTGTTCCTTAGACAGCCTCTGTTAGGTACAAACAAGCGGCTGCAATCAGGTTAAGATAACCGGTCCCCTGCGTCAAAAGGCATTTGAAAAAATGCCACGGTTGCTATGACCGAAAGCCGCCAATTCAACCGCCCGCAGTTTATTACGTTTGCGGGCGGCCAGTACGTCATAACTATGATCAGATTACTGAAAGCTATTTGGTGTTCTCCCTTACTCTGAAAACCGCATACTTATTTGTCTACTTGTACGGGAATTTTAGTTTGTTGTATAACGATTTAATGCAAAGGCCTGGTGAGGATTTACTGGAAGCAAACGTCTACTCAACAAATTATTTATGTGAAAAGTTTGATGAAATATTTTCGCATACTGCCTTTAAAAGCGCTCGGGAGAACTTCTATGTTAGTTTTTCTACGGCAAAGGACGGGAATAAGAAAATATCCTGCAGTAAACGTGGCTCTTTTCGAAATACTCACAAGGATTGATATTAGTAGATAGGCGTACGCCGATCAGTTACAGGGCATACTTGTCCAGTTTTTGATGTCCTTGTGTGTTCGTGATCCCACAGGGCCCTCCTGGAAGTCCCTGCTTTGACGGTAAAAAGCCCTAAAACAAGGATTGATATTCCAAAGTCATACGTTTAACACTAAACTCAACCCAAAAATCGCGCAATAGTTAACCTCGCTAATAAAACGAACTAAACTAAGGTAAACTTAAGTTAAGTAAGCTGACTACGCTAAGGGTAATCTTAAGTAAAATAAAATTAACAAAACTAAATAATTACCTAAAAGCTAAACTAAAGCGAAAAGCAAGTCATACTTTGCAAACTTAAACAAACTAAAGCAAACTTAATAAACTAAAATACTAAATCAAAACTAATGAAACTAAGTCTTAAATAAAACGATAAGTAAAATAAAGAAAATTAAACTCTTTCAAGCCTAAAAGCAACCGCATGTCGCTAATAAAACTAAACTAAATAAACTAGAGTAAATTTAAGTAAAGTAAGCAAACTAAACTAAAAAGTAATCTTAAGTTTATTAAAACTAATCAAACTCAATAGCAACTTGAATACTAAACCGAAATAAAAGTCAAACTAAACTCCGTAATCTAAAGTAAATTTACTAAAGTAAATACTAAACCAATGCTAAGAAAATGCTTCGTTCCCCTATTACAGAACAATTTCTAGATACGGGTCTTTCTGTGGGCACTAAAACTTCATTCCGAGTACTTGTTCGAGTACGAACAACTCGTACTTTGCGCCTATAAAAGGCGGTCAAATTCTGACCTATATAAGCAGTTGGAGCATGCAGTTAGCTTAGCTTTGCCTTGGTAACACCTGCCCCCCAGATTTGCACCTAACCCTGCCCACCTTTTCGCCTTAACACCTTTATTTCTGTTTCTTTTTTCACCTTGTTTTAACTCTTTTACTTTACTAATTAGCCTCCGTGACCATGCCCTATGACCTTTTTGACCTTTCTGCACCAATTCAATTTTGTATTTTTCTCATTCGTTACTCCTATAATGCACTGCAGTGGATGCGGCTGAAGAGCTCTCCCGAAATTTCATAGACCCAATAAATCCTGCTGTTTTTGCTATCTACCAATTTGTACCTGGGAAACTTTGCTTTAAAACAAAACAAGCCTACGCTAATGAAATAAGTAGGTTATACTAGCTTACTTGGGATAAGTAGTATTATCCAATCCTCTTTTATTCTATTACCGTCCATTTTTACCTTTGAGAGGGACATTGCCGGCAAAATGTAGCAAAGAGAACAGGGACGAGACGACAATAACAGAGAAAAGATGCTGCGTCGAAAGACAGTCTGGAGTGTATTCATTTCGCGCAGGGGGCGGGAAAACCAGAAACACTTTCATATTAGTCAGGGTTCGTCCACGATGGTGTGGATGTTTTTGCCGGCAATACTATCTGCCTACTACTAGCTGTTACGGTTGCCGAGGCCTAAGATAGGGCGGGGCATAGGAATTCCGTTAGCGGTCAGGAGGACGTTCATCAACGATGGCGTAATGTTTAACTGACTTTCCGATTCCTAAAAAGGATTGTGCTGATAACAGGTCTGAGAGTTAAAGGCAAATTAAAAAGTGAAATCGTTCATTCTTGCTTTTCTTAAAATGCATTTACATCGCATGCTTTGCTCACACAGGTGTCCAGCAAAAGTAAAAGAGGTTTCATTGTCGTATTATAGAAGGCTGAGGAAGGGTTTGTTCCTCGAGAGCTTGTCCTTTGTCACAGCATTAAGTCGAAAGTTGATCCCTGCGGTTGATTCCCGGTTACATTAGAGTAGTGAAACGACACTTAGCGATAATAGTGATTCATCTTACTTTAACTATAGGTGTTTAATGAGTTTGAAGATTCGGTTCGCGGGGTTACCATAGTTTGTTCACCTTTGACTGGGAAATTATGACGATTTAAATTGCTCTTGTGATTATCTGAAGTGCTTTTTGGGTTCATAAAATGTTTTAATTACCTAAACGGCCAACTGAATGCATGATCCCACTGTTCTTTTTAATTTTCAATTTTTTT